TTGTTTATTCTAGAATATTTTCCAATTCATTTACATAAAACATGCGATTTGCCACCGGATCGTTCGTACATATTCGGCTATCATCCACACGGTATCATTTCGCTTGGTGCCTTCTGTAATTTTGCTACAGAGGCGACCGATTTCGAACATAAATTTCCTGGTATTAATCTACGTTTACTCACATTGACATCGAATTTTCGTATACCATTCTACGAAATCTATATATCATTGATGGGTATATGTGATGCATCGAAAGAATCGTGTAATTATATTTTAGAACAAGGTCATGGCAATAGTCTGATGTTAGTACTTGGCGGTGCCAAAGAAGCGTTAGATGCTCGACCATCACATGAATATATATTGACACTTAAAAATCGAAAAGGTTTCGTTAAAATCGGTCTAGTTCATGGTGCGTGCTTAGTGCCCGTGTTTTCATTTGGTGAAAATGATCTCTATGAACAAGTGCCGAATCCACGTGGATCACGTATTCGGCGATGGCAAATGTTGTTACAGAATAAAATGGGCTTTTCATTCCCATTGTTTAATGGACGTGGAGTATTTCAATATGCAATCGGTTTTCTACCCAATCGACATCGTATCGATACATATGTCGGTGAACTGATTCAATTGCCGAAATTAGAACATAATCAAATAACATCCGATATTATCGATCAATATCATAAGCAATATATGAATGCGCTAACGCGTCTATTCGATCGATACAAATCTGAACATGATCAAGCGGATGCAACGGTCATTTATGTCAATGATGATGATGTACCATCATAATACAATGTGTTTGTACTAGGGGTGGCACCTTTTCTTTACCGTGTCATTATTTTACTGAATAAAGTAACGGTTTTCAGAATGTGCCATCCAACTAACTTTCTTTTAGGTAAGAACTTGAACTACCAACAAGTTCTCATATGCGCTCACACATTCCTTGAGCTCAATTAACTTGGTTAGAAGCATCGATCAGCTCTTGAGTCAATATATTGATACAAAATGTGACATAGAAAAAGAATCAATTAGCAAAAGAAATGTCTTCTTTGTAGAATTACTCCATCTGCCGCAGAATGCAAAAAAGAACTAGAACGAATCTTGAACTGCAGACATATTTTTGACCAGTAAACAAGATTTTGATATTATCTGTCATCAATATCTTCCATTGATGATCGATCGAATTGCTTCATTTGGTCTCTCGAATGACGGTGATACTTGAGAACACATCGATCTATTTCTGTTACGTGGTTTCAGAGCTGGAAGCGTTTGAAAATTTTCAACACAACCCAACCGACCGATTGAAATGGGCCTCCAACCGATGAAAAATCGGCAAAAAATTCGATGGGCATTTTCAAGTTTTCTGAAAAATCGTTTACTTGAATTAGCGAAATCAGTGTCAGTAAGTCTTGTAAGTGATCAAATACTAGCACTCAGATTATAACTGAATTGATCATTGGAAAGTGACAAGTGAAAGTGATGTGAAAACAAGATGGAACCGAAGTGCAAAGCACTGATCATCTTCTAATTAACAAAGCCATTGTTTTCGTTTGGTTTTGTTCTGGAGGAAAGACTCAGCGATACAGCCAAAGAAAAAGTCCCCAAAAGGCAAAAATAGAATTTAGGGGTGGCATAGGCGGCGGAACCATGGGAGCAGTGAGGACTCGAGCCCCCATAGATTTGGAAAACTCAACAGCAATAACCGTTTTCTCCCAGCGGAAGCTCGCGGAAAAATTGATTAAGCCCCCATGAAAACCCTATACAACGATATGAGCCCCCATAGCTCAAAATTCGTTCCACCGCCTATGAAGGATGGAATCTCCCCTCCATTCTCTCCTAATTGTATGGTCTGAACGAAACGGCATGCCTGTGATAAAACCATTTTGGTCACGCGAGAGTGGGTATTAACCAGGTGGGGAAAGCGTCTGTTAGTTAATAGTAGAAAACTAGGAAAAACGGAGTCTATGGGCTTTTTTATTTCAAACTGAATTCTAAAATCAAAAAAACCGCACCAACTTCTTCCGAATCAAACTTTTCTCGTTTGATACTACGTAGTCCCACTAAAAACCCTTAGTCCCCCCTAGTCCTGCAAAGTCCCCCTAAGTCCCCCCACAAAAAGCTTAGTCCCCGCTTAGTCCCTTGTGCAGGGGACTAAAGCCTATAGTACACAAAGCCACAAGCACACCCTCACCCTCACTCGCGCGCCCACACCCGCACCATGGGTGTGGGTGTGTGTGTGGGTCCCAGACCAACACCCACACCCTCAGTCACTCCCCCCCTCACTCCTAGACTCACGTTTCAGTTTGAAATCAAGTATTATTTTTATTTGATAAATTCAGACTGAAATTAAATAGCCCATAGTATGGAAAAACGGCATCGTCTCATAACTAAAAGTGTTTCACCATTTTTGAAAAACATTATCACCATCAGATTTACATTGAAAATCACCAAAAAAAAGGGATTTTCATTTGCGTGTTCAACCGGTAAAAAACCGGTCTCGATCGGTCGATTGATAGGCTCGACCCAACCCAACCGGTGCACCGATCAACTGGCCGGTGGGGTACCGGTTCACCCGTTGGGTTTCCGCTCTGCGTGGTTTCATTCTTCGTCAATTCACTCAATTGCAATCACTTTCATTGTCTCAGTTGTATATATATTATATATAACGTTCTATGCTTTGATAGAGAAATGTCTGCTCTATTTTTTGAGGTTTTTCAATAAAAGATTCATTGAGCTGCTGTTGAGAAATCGTCAAAATACTGCGGATGTCTAAAATTGGCCAATTTCGCATGAACCATCATGAGTCATCGTCAGTACCGTCTTTATAATGCTTGAAATGTAAGACAGAAAGGCTAATATTTTGGATCAGCAGGTTTTTCAACCACGAGCTTTTGTTTTATGAAATAAAAATCAATTATCAAAATTTTTCAAACGCCCGTGTGTCTCATATTGGACGGCCCAGTCATGGATCCTCTCTTAAAGTCTTCAGTTACAAATCGAGAGATGTCTGTTTTGCCTTTCTTTCTATAAAAACGAACGTTAATAGATTCAATCGTTATACAACTCATTTCGGTAGTATCAATAGGGACGTTCACTCTAGCGGCAGATGATAATATAAAGGAGGGTTGAAAATAAACGATCGACAGAGCCAATATTGCAAAAGAACAGAACACAAACGATGGAGTGACGCACCTCCTTTTGCGCCCTGTCCATGTTGTAAAAGAGGCAATGCTTCCTGTCTACATGTAAACATATCTCAGTGGGAAAAAACCAAGTCACTTTCTTTCAATGATATACACGTGACCCAGCCGATCGCTCGATCAAGTACAACAAACAGAAGGAAAAACGACAGTAATATATGGCTACGTCAACTGTCACGCTATACAACATTCTCGGAGTGGCTAAAGCGAGTGACGATGTGCAATTGCGTATCACATATCGTGAACGAATTCATCAATTCAAAGCCGATCGACAGAAAACACCTGGAAATCGTACGATTACAGCCGAACAATTTCGACAAATTTGTCGTGCTTATGAAAGATTATCCGATCATGATAAACGGAAGTGATATGATGAACGGCAAGAATGGATTTCGGATTTATATGAATCTAAATATACACTTCAACAATTGGCAGTCGAACCTTATCTTGAGTTGCAATTGAAACAACGATTACAAAATGTGAAATTAAGACAAATTAATGCACAAGATCCGGTAACAGGTCATACACCACTGTATTGTGCAGCATGTACTTGCAATGTTGAAGCTGTACACTATCTGATTGAACAAGGTGCCAATCCTGATTTAGTACAACAAGCCGGAAGTACGGCTTTACATGTAGCTGCATTCTATGGATATCCAGAAATGGTTCAATGTCTATTAGAAAGTGAAGCCGACTATCAGTTAAAGAACTCTCTCGGCAACTTGGCCGAGCACGAGTCTTACAATGATGAGGTTCGAAATGCTTTTTCTGCATTGAAAAAGACACCATTTGTACAAGCAGCTGCTAATCAACTCGATTGGTTCAAAAATAATGCGCACAATATTCAAGAACATATTGATGTACAATATCATGTTCAACGGCAGACACTACTTCATTGCGCATGTAAAAAAGGTCATTTTGATCTTGCTAAATGGCTCATCGAAGCACGTTCAGCTAAACTCGATCTGGTTGATATTAATTTAAATTCGGCTCTGCATCTTGCTGCATATGGTGGACATACATCAATTGTACAATATCTTCTCTATCGAGGTGCTAACTCAACTCTAATCAATAAATTGGGTATGACAGCTGAACAAGAAGGCATAGTTCATGGTACTCGAATCACAGGGTGTGGGTATGGGTGCAGATGTTGTCTTCTGTTTGCTCACACCCACACCCACACCCACACACCCACACACCCACACCCACACCCTACTCGACAAAATTAACAAAACAAGACAGCAAAAGAAAATAATAAAATACTAAACTTCTGCATTGTGTTCTCATTCTGGTAATCAGAACACAGTGTAAAAACACATTACATGTGATGATACCAAGGGCACCATATCAAAATTTTCAAATGGGATGCAAATATTTTTACAATGGTATATATAGTTGAGGTACATAACTTTTTTTCTGAAAGAAATTTCTTTTCTAAAAAAAATAACATCATTTTGCACTTTTCTCAATTACATTTCAACTTGATTGTTCATTATTCCATTAAAAAACACTGCCACAGTGAAATCATAATTTAAAAAAACAATTATAATCTACAAAACAATACAAAGTTTCCAATTAAGACATACTAAAGACTGAAATTATCTAGAACAAGGTTTTTTTTATGACTGTACTCATCTTTAATTCAAGCGCATTTGAATAATTTAGGTTCATCTTGAACAAATATTAAAAAACTCCGTACATTTCATCTTTCAACTCAATCTTATTTTTTATTCAGCAGCTATCGTTTCTCCTAGAATTGAACTTCGATTAGCTGTCCATGAATGCTTAATATGACTAAAAACACATTCTGTACATGTATTAGAAAGAGGAATTGAATATATATATATAAGAAACAAATTTTGTCATTTCATCACAATTTGTTGTGTTTTCTGTAGGTTAAAACAATGAAAGTTAGCTGAGTCGGGATGTGACCTGTGTGATGAGTGAAGATGAAGTTAAATGCTACACATACATCCACATTCACATTCTTATCATCTATCCAGTAAAAACTTGCATCTCAATTAACTTTTTTTTTGAATATTATATCCAATCAAATATGACAAGAAAATAACTAAATAAAAATAAAATAAAAGATTCGTCGAACTTTATTGTGATGAAAAAATTAAAAAAAGTTAGTTAGAAGAAGAATGTCCTGTCTTGCGACTACCTTGCGGTATAGAGCGATGTCCGGAGACAATTTCGAAAGCCTAATATTTCCCCTACGACTATTACTAGCTACAGCTGCGGACAGACGGTCGCTTGAGCTCCCGTACACACTGATTAATCATATACTAGAGACAAAAGTCAATCGTTTCCACTACGTAGTCAGTTTGGTAATCATAGGGGTGATTGGAGACCAACAGCCGTTGGTGACTTGTCTATAGTCATTCCATGTCTGATGGCGCCGGGACTCAAACACAATACCTTGGTAGTACGTGTCAAATAGATGAACCATTCAGCCATAGTGGCAAATAAAAAAGGTTAAGACAAAACGGAAAGAGTAAAATAGATACTACTAATCGGTGGTCAATTTTTCATCAATACTGTTCACAATGAATGTCGTTCCAGCGACGTCATAAGCTCCATTGAAAACCATAATTCACTTCAATCAAAGATCAATTTATGGCAACAAAAGCTCAAAAATCAAAATAGAATGCAACACGTGTACCTTAGAGGTATAAATTTTTTGAGGATGAAAAATAGCAAAATGGAATACATTTGGCGGCCCTGTATTAGTCCTAGGATGGTATTTGATTATAATACGTAAGTTATATCTTATTTTTAAAAACATCCCTAACTTAACGGCTCTACTTGACCACTAGAATAGATTACATGTTTACTTATTCACCAGTGTGAATTTAGCGATTGATTCAGCGAACTAAAGTTTGTGGTGAATGATAAGTATTCTTGATAGACATATTATTGATGTGTGTAGGCACACATACAGGAGAGGAGAGGAGCATTGTTAGCAGTAATTTCTTACCATTGTAAACCTTGATCACCTTCTCTTTTTTTTCTTCTTTTCTCTCTTCATTGTTACCGTTTGTTCTTCTTTCTTCTCGGTCTTCTCTTTGAGATGTTTATATATGTGTGTGTAACTGTGTGAAGACACTCTTTTTAAAATAAAATAAAGAAAACTCGTGCTGTTGCGAGCTAACAACAAGGTAGGGAAACAAATTTCACCTAATGTTCATCAGACTGGATCAAATTTATGAACAACTTCAAATTAACATGAAAAGCATTGACTCTCATCCTAAGGTATGGTCAGAGTCTCATGAGGAAGCCTCACCAACAGATACCCTCCGTTTGAGCTCATGTTTTGCTCATTGGTAGGGATCATGGTGCAGATAAAAACCCTAGAGGGGTTCGTGCCCATAAGCCTTTCTTCTCGAGTTATTATCATTTAACTGAATTTTCAGCCTCTGACAAGGTATTATAAAAAAACTGCAACAAGGAATTTTTGCTTGAAAATTTCCTCAATAACAGACCTCATGAGCCTTATTATATCGTGAAACTTTCAGCTCGAACGAATACTTCTCTCTCGAGATAATAGGTTTCCACTAAACACTACTTTTTTTACAAACTCTCAAAAAAAAAAAGGTCCATTTTTAAGATATCTCATATCTTAAGAAAAACTCATTTGTTTGAGCTCAACGTTTCAGGATATAATAAGGACCATGAGGACTGTTATTGAGGAAATTTTCAGGCAAAAATTCCTCGTTGCAGTTTTTTTATAATACCTTGTCATAGGCTGAAAATTCAGATATATGATCATAACTCGAGAAGAAAGGCCTGTAGGCACGAACCCCTCTAGAATTTTTATCTGCACTATGATCCCTACCAATGAGAAAAATATGAGCTCAAACGGAGGGCATCAGTTGGTGATGTTTCCTCGTCAGTCAAATAAACCATCTGCACTTTTTTTTCTTCAAATAATCTTCTCATTAGTGAACCGTATGGACATTTACGCGCTACTTTCAATAGTGGAAAGTTTAATTAACGGAGTGTATTTCTTTTTCTTTTCTTTTTTTTTTGAGAAACGTTCCACTCAAAACAAACAGTTATTGGCAACATTTTTTATCATTACTTTTTCTTTTCACGTTATTTTCTTATTTAAACATTAGTGTAATTTGTATTTTTGCAATATGCACAGCAGTACACTGCATATAACCGCTTTGAGAAAAAACTCGTTAATTCCGTTCATTATCAGACCAAGTAAACCTCGTTCTGGTAAGAAAGGGATTTTTTTATATCGACAAAATAATTTCGTCTAGAAGTGCGGTCACTTAGAAGTGAAGGTGATTCTTACTTCTAACGATAGTTTGTGCCTATCTCGCTATTCATTTATTCAGTTTGTTTGTAGAACTGACAGATTGATTTGAAAAGAAAAAAAAGCACAAATTTCGCTGCTAACACGTTCAACTGATGACAGTAATCTATACCTTGATTTAAAAGATTCATTGAAAATATAAGAATGAATGTTGTTTCTCGTCAATACATCAAAAGACAAGTGAAAGAATTGAATTTATTCGATGATTTAACTTCTCGATCTGACACATTTCATTACCGAATTGCCATTATATCAACTCGCATATATCTTGTTCTTCTTACATTGGCCGTTCTTATTCTTATCATATGCGTTGGACTAGATGGTCAAACTCAAGTTTTTACTATTCAAAATCCATCTCTAACAATCTATGAGATTTTGAAGGAAAAATATCTGAACATACTTTCTTGTCCCTGTAGTCAAGTAGCCATTCCGTACATTACATTTGTTTCGATGTCTACTCGATTTCATCCTATATGTTCAAGTTGGTTTGTCTCCGATGACTGGATCAATATTTTGTTTGATCCGGACATTAGCTATTTCTTCCAACTAGACTTTCGTTCATCGGCCACAGGCCAATTTCAAATGCTTTCCTCACTCTGTTCATTTGTCAAACAGTCTGTACGTGATTCAATTGATGATTTTCTTTCCGACACTTTCTTCAGTCCACAACTGGTTACGCAACAGTTAATGGATGCTCAGGTTCAATCTGAAACTTTATTTTTACGAACATCAACCGTTAATTCTGTGCGTCAAGTTTTAAGTTTTATACGTAGTGCTACACATAACAATCAATTACAATCAGCATTGCAAACATCAAAAAGTCTTTCGATAATCGTCAGAAGCGATGGTACAGCAGTTATTAATGCCATGAGTAGCATTTTCTTCGATCATTATGCTACATTATGCTCCTGCGGCATCACATCCACCTGTTCATCATCATCTGGTATCTTCAATATGTGGACCTACGTCAACAACGGAAATTTTACATTGCCAATACTGCCAGTGGCAAATGTGACAGGTTTCGTAACTGGTTGCTATGCCATCGAAGCTTTGCTTCAGTCGACACTCGAATGTTTCTTCAATCGAACATGTCTTGAAATAGTGCTGGCATTCTTTTCGTTTCATAATACTACCACAATTAATACTCTTAATATTTCTCAAACAAGATTCTCACCGAGGACAACTATCGAAACAATATTGAATGATTTGTTTATTGAACAATGGAATACAATGAGCCCATTCGAGGACTATTTCGTTAAATGTGCTCCCATTGCTTGTACATATTCATCCACACAGCAGAACAATTTATTATATATATTGACGAAATTATTGGGTCTCTATGGTGGACTTACTGTTTTTCTTCGGATCTGCGTACCATTTATCGTAGCTTGGTGGATGAGCCGAATCAATGCTCCAACAGAATCTGATCAACGTAAGGTTCACTACATTATACTAAGTACTGCTAATAATCACTTCTAAGAACGAAATTTATTTCAATTTTATACCTTTGAACAAGTTAATGAATTTTTTTTCTGAAATATTGACGGTTGATAATTTTCTTTTAACTAAATTTAAAAACGTAGACTTGTAGCTTATCAAATGACAGAAATAGGCGTCTTAAATTGTGTCTTTCTCATCATAAATAAGTTATGGAAAACTGTAATTTCTGTCTCTGTTGATACAAAACTTGTTTTCAATTCCGTAAAATTTTTTGCTGACTTCTAAATATATATTTCATGACTCATAGTCACTCCAAAACAGGAAGACCTGATAATACATTGTCTAGACTGTCAGATAGAAGAAAAATGATTAAAATAATAATCCTAATGTATCCATCGAACTTTATCGAAAACAAGCTAATTTTATTCGAAGAAAAAGTGCATATGAGCTGAGAAGATTTCTATTAATCTTTAATTTATTTGACGTTTTTTTGAAATATTCTTTGTAGTTAGTCTAATAGATCGGTTTCGAACTGTGTATAGTCTGATAAAAACTAAATTGATCCACTTAAATCTATTCGAAAATCATGAAACTCAGAACGATCAAGTTGCATTGAATACATCAATCCTTTCGACACGTATCTTTATCTTAACTCTTGGTGTATCGATTATGATTCTGATCGGTTACACATCCTCAATTGTTCAAACCCAAACTCATATAATTAATAATCCATCTCGAGCAATCTATGAAGATTTGTACACTAAATATTCAATTATGCTTCAATGTGAATGTAGTGAAATTGCTATTCCCTACGGTTCATTCCTGTCATTATCTCCCGAATATCATCCAGTATGTTCAAGTCCATTCATCACTGATACTTGGCTACAGGTGACACGACGTGATGATAACCTTGGTTTTGCTTATGATCCTGAAGACTTCTTCTATGCTGGCTTCGGATTTTTTAATACTCTTGCCTCGTTATGTTCACTTGCACAAACGATTCTAAACAATTCATTACATGTTTTTAATCGAAATAGATTGGTGAGTGGTCAAGTGTTATTCAAAGATGAATTAATACCACGTTCACTTGTAATACTCGATACATTCAAAACAAATACTATCAATAAATTAAAACGTG